TGCCCTGTCATGTCACAGGGAAAATGGACTTGTACACTTGTGTGGCAAGATTGGCAATAAATTATCTGAAGGTGATTGATGCCTTGGTTTATTGTCAGTTCGAAACCAATCAAAGGTTTTAAACTACTGGAAAAATACTGTTTTCAGGGGAAATTAAATTGAGCTGAACCTCCTGGGAGAATTTTTACATGGTGGTCCAACGGTCACGCACCATTCCATTCATCGAACTGCATAAACTCTTATAATATTAATAATAACTCCTTTTTAAGTTATTCACGTATTTATTATTAATTACCCCTTCTCGTCTTTTGCTAATTTTGAAACCATCATTTACCTGGAAAGAAACATTTCCAGGGAAGCGAAACTTTTCGGGTTTTAAGCGTTTACTTCCCCACCCACACCTATGATCATGAACTTTGGGTAATGACTGAAAGAATCAGATTGTAGATAAAAGGTGCCTCAATGAAGTTCTTGTAGCGTGTGGCCGGTGTCACTCATAGTGAGAGGATGTGTAATACTGCCATCAATGAGAACCTCCAGGTCGAGCTGCCATGCATTTGGATCGACAGATCTGAAGCCCATTGGTCTGGACACGTCTCCCCCATAATTGTCCCCAGGAGACTTCCAAATAGAAGCTTCCAATCTAAAATGACCAGCAGTAGACCGGTCGGTAGGCCTCGTGCAACGTGGGCGGACAACAACGCGAACCTTTGCCACGAGAGGCTCGGTATACCATCTGCTATGAACTTGACTACGTTGCCCAGGATCGCAAGGGCTGGAAGATGCTCCTGTGTCTTCTCGAAACATGGCCCTATGAAGTTGGGGTAAGTGGTTTTCAAAACGTATGCAAGGTATGTGTATAACCGTGTTTGACAGTGGTCTTGCATAACAGCTTGATCTTCACATACGCTGAAAATTGAGGATGGTAGTCCTTGTTTATCTGCCACTATGGGGAAGCCCTTTTCCTAATTAGGACTTTTTTTTTCCCGGAGGCTTCGTCGTGTACTCATAAAGTTAAGGTGGCTGTGGGTTAGAAAGTAACACATAATTTAACATGGAGGTTGCTTTTATTTCTAGCTCTTATCGTTCAGTGAAAAGCTCACCGAACCGAGAGCACTAGTCTCAATGCAGGCGTTACTCAAGGCCTCGGTCGTCTCGATGGTCTCGGTCTGGGAGTTCCCGTCGGTCGCGATGGTTTCGATGGTCTCGGTCTGGGAGTTCCCGTCGGTCGCGATGATCTCGATCTAGGAGTTCCCGTCGGTCTTGGTCTTGGCGTTCCAGTCGGTCTCCGTCCAGGAGGTCCAGGCCTTCCAGGCCTTCCAGGTCCCTGCCTCTCCTCTACGAAATAATCAATGATTACTCGACGGTCGCATTGATTGTGCATCTTTTCCAGAAAGCACGCCTGGTCTCATGTAATTGCTAAGTATGGTAAGTGCGAAGTAATGGCAATTCACTAATTATGGTGAGGTGGGTAAAAGTAACTTGAAAAACACATAATTGCACTTGGCAGGATGATATGAAAAATTCCAGCAAAAAAAATATTTTCACAAAATTTGATTTCTATCCTCTTCAAACAGTTAACAAGAGATTCCAATGACTTTCAGAACTTGAATCTGAACTGGATTCTCAGGAAACCTCCCTTTTAAAAACCATGTTTCATATTACTTTTGCCCCATTCCATGGGGCAAAAGTAACATTGCTACACAAGTGGTGTCTGATAGCACTAAGGAGCCAAAAGGGGCGACTGCAAATGCGTTCCACATTATGTGCATGAATCTTATGAAATTTTCAGCTAATATGGTCTGAAAATGAAGCAACGGGAGCGTATCAGGCTGAAGCAGGTGCAGCCATTCTCGGCTGAATTTTTGAATTTTAAGCCTGCAGGAATTCTCTGGGAGTAAAAAATGAAGAAAATCCTCTCATCCACCCCACTTGCACTAATCTCTTTACTTTTCCTTCTTTTCTTTCTCCTCAATTTCCTCCCTTAAAATCAGCTCAGATATCTACCATCATGTTTGCTTATGATGGACACCAATATAATTCATGCCTTTCACACCTATCAACAAAAAGAAACCTTAAATTCACAGATCATAATCTAGAAACTTTTATTGAACTTTTGAACGATGCTTTGAAAGGTGCATCTTGATGGTGCTCTCAGAACACCAAAATGTCACCATTAACCACCTTGTCACTTTTATATTCATTACATAATTCTTAATGGCATTCACAGCGTTTGAGATTTTCATGGGAGTTGCGTTTCCACGCATCCCTCTCAGTTTTCCTTTGGTAAATGCGAACCATTATGAAGCCTGGAAGAAGCCCCATGCACAATACTCAGCTATGCACACATTTTTACCACAAATAGACACATGTACCCAAAAGTTAGCAGCATTTAAAATTTTGTATGTGGGATGTTGCCTTTGCCTTACGGCCCAACTTTCCATAGGGCAAAAGTAACACTGGACTCAACAAATGATGTGATGAGGCCCAAGCCCAAAAGGTCACGATGCTGATCAGGCAACTAATTTAATTTTTTTTAAAACCATTTTTAACGTCATTAGTTGGGATGAAAAATGAAATTGCAAAAGGAGAGAAAAAATGTGGATTCGTAATTTTCTTACCAGGAGGCGCCAAATTAAAATAAATACGTTCATGGCCAATTGCAGAGAAGCTCAAAATGTGAAGGATGGAGATTGACATGTTATGAACGCAAAATGAGGATATTGTATCTAATGTACTGGCAGAAATACGACGTATTGTTACCATTACATTGTTCCTTTTGCCCCACCTCACCCTATTCCTCAAGCTTCGTCTCCGGAGTCTCCTATCATAGCGTTAGGCACGCGGTAATCACCCTCATACCTGGTAGATGCAACTGGAAATCCGTCAATTCCTCGAGGAGTCTCTCTTCGAGACTTCTTTGTTCGAAATCCACCGACTCGAGTTCGTCAAGATCATCTTCAAGACTTCTCACCCCCTAAGAGGAAAATAAATTAATCTCATTGATCTGAAAATACAATATCGAATGACTTGGATACAGTACCTGGGTGCCGATGAAGACTAGGACGGCCACGAAGAGACCAACATGAATAGACTTCATGATGATCGTGATGGTTGGAGGATGTCGTGGATGATGGTGAGTTGGCGAATGTCGGCTTTTACACGTTCCTTGTTATTCCGGGATAGTGCGTCATCACCAACATACGTGTTATTTTGACCCACGATCTTCCTTATGCACCTGAACCATCACGCGATCCTGGATCTGGCAAAAATTAATCTGTAACGCGTGGAGGCAGTCCTGGTTTTCGTGCAGATGTGAAAATGTTGCAACGTCGAAGGGAATGGTATACGTATATTCCCATGTTCTGGCATCCCGATCGAATGCCGGGCCTGTATATTTATATATTTCCAAAGCCTGATCCCTCAATTTGAAAGATATGGAAAAAATCTTGTGGTAACAAAAAAAATCGAGCAACTCCTTTCAACTCGTCTCCACTCGTGAATTTTTCCTAAAAGCATTAACTTACGAGTATACCCTCGTACATTGGGAAGCTATGAATGTCATCCTTTGGGATGATGCTGACCTATTAAAATAGAGGATATTATTCTTCATCCCTCGTTAAGTGTCCAAGCAAACTTGACGTTTTTTTTTTTTACTAAGTTTGTCTGCTTTTAGAAATCTTGCATCTGTATCTTACATGTCTTCTAGTGTGTGGACCAGAAAGTCACGTTGCGTAGCGAAAATTGTTCATGGATGAACTCTTGATCCTAGATGAATGCTCCTTCACTGGTGCAGCATTTGCAGAATTCACAAAGGCTTTTGTTTCCTTCATTCACAGTAGCCTTTTTTCCCACAGAACCTGCATTTTGTTGATATTCCATTCCAAAAAAGAAAACTGAGCGCTCTCCCCGAGCTTCTTGAGGGAATATTTTTCTTTCTTCCTCATTCATTGCTCGAAATTCCGATCACAACGAATTCGTTATTGGGATGAAAACCATTTTTCAAATGTTTTGTCCCCTTCTTCCCCCCCCCCCACTCCACCTTTCTACGGGACTCACAAACATTAGGTTTAGGCCTAACCCACGGACTGTCTTCAGGTCAGGCTTCGACCTATAGACCCAGGTAACAGGTTCACGTGTTTCCCTTCAAAAGAATCTCAATCCCCGACTTGCGGAGCCAATTAAGCCTATAAACAATGAATCCCTCGTACTATTTCAGATAGTGCACGTTCATCCTCAATCTTCAACTTCTCTTCTGGATACTTGGCTTGGGTAAGCTTCCTCTTCACAATAGGATACTCTCCAATTGAATACAAACTTTGATCGATGAATTCTAGCATCCTATTTTGCCCATAAACAATCGCTCCCGAAAAAGGGGCGGGTCAAGCAGTGGTTACATCTTTCGATAGTGAGCGAGACTCTCTCGTCTTTATCTCGCGAATCGACGATATCAATCGAACCAAATGAGAGGCCTTCTCAAGCGAACATCGCCAATTCAAAATTTCCGAATACCGGACCTCCTTGATCTTTGATTTGGAAAACGCTCTCCAGTTACACAATTCTGAATTTCCAAATGTGACTCTACCCGTATTCCTCATTTCACGATTCAGTCACATCAACTGTTCAACATTGCACTCGAATGACGCATCTCCCGTAAATTTGTAAAATGTTTCTTCTATTTTTCGATTGAACTTTGCGGCCAGGAATGGAGTGTTTTGTTTTCGTCTGAAGCATCTGTTTCCTCCTGACTGTCCAAACGGACATGTGTCTCCTCGTCAGACGGAGAGATAGGGCTGCGATTGCAAGCATAGACAAGGTCGCGAATCGAAATTACTTTCTTCATCATCTGCTATTATCTTACTTACTATGGGAAAATAGAAGATATTGCGATCTTCCTGTAGCTTTTTTTTTTATTTATTCCGCCAGTCCGCCGTTTCCATAGCAACGGAATAAATGTACTCATAGCTCATGTGTAGCCTTCCCCCTGGGTTGAGATGTCAGCCCAGGATTAAACCTGGCACTTCCTCTGCAGCCTTCGAGGATGACGGATCCGTAGTAGACAATGGGCTGAAGCGGCTGCTCTCGAACACATAAATAGGGTTGCCAGGCGAACGCTTGTAATGCTGTATCTGGCATCCTACTCTTGATACTCTTTTCCCGTTTCCACGTGACCCGGACGCGCGAACTATCGAGAACCATCTAGTTGTCCGGGATTGTTCATATTGTCACGGTAAGGGAATACAGAACAGACGACCCCGTTTGGGGTGATTGACCCCTGACCTTCATTTACAACCTCTGCCACTAGGTGTCACTAGTGAGTCCCGGTGTTTGCTATTCAGGATATGTAGTGGATTAAATTATATGCGCTGGTCCCGATGTAATAGTTACATTGAGTTATTTTTAGAGCTATATGCAAAGAAGTAAGGAAGTACATGCCGTACTTCCTTACTTCTTCCAACCCAACATGCTGAGAAGTTGTAGGCGGCTCTGACGTGATCGTATATTATTCCTTATCACTAACAGAACGCCAGCGTGTTCGAGGTTAGAATGACTCCTTAGACTCCTTGCAGTAATATAATGAATTTATTATATAATTACTGTTAGTCGCTGACAACCAGGATAGGATGAGAACAATGTTGACAAGAAACAGAAATGGGATATTGAAGCCGTATTTAAACTTCTATTGCATACAAAAGTGACTGAATAAGGGATACAAAATGACCTATACCTGTATGGTTATTAACGTGGGGCGGAACCGATGTCCTACACTCACTCTCAACTCTCGATCAGATGTTTTTCCTCTCCGCTCTCACACACCGCCTCTCACAACATCCGCCAACTCTCCCTTTCATTGCTCGCGCAGTCTTTTATAACTCTTTCTTCGGGACATGCGTGAAAGCACATCCGTCAGACCCGACTATCAAGGTGTTTCGTAAAGGGTACCTCCTACACAACCTGAAGCACCCAGACGACGTTGGCATTTCCGACCCACCATCAAACATAGTGGTTGATGGTTTGGAGATGCCCGACGGCCAAGAAATATGGGAATCTGTTCTGAATCGATAATAGACTCAATGCTGACCTCTCCTATCACATCCTCGAAGACGATCTCGTGAGAACCATCAGCTTGTACTACCTCCATGTCGATAAAGTCATATTCCAAAAGCAGAATAATCAAGACATGCAGCAAAACGCCTTGATAGTTGTTCAGAAAGAAACCATGAAACTCGCGGATTGCCCCCTAGCAAACACCCAACATTAACCCCAGAAAGCACTTCTGGGATCTTTGAGCTTATGAAACATGGCCTTAGGCGCATGCGCGAATTCCTCTCTGAGTGTTTGTAAAATAGAGCATCATTCATAGATCAGAAAGATTGAAACTTATGCGAAGCATGTCGAGAGGAATTACGTCAACGCAAAATACAATTTGAAAATATACTGAGTGTGGTATAGTTGTGATATTGATTAGAAACGGAAAAAGACAAGAACTGTCCAAGCGGGTGAGTTTCATTCAATATTCTATTACTCAGCATAGATAAAACGAATTGACTAGAAACTCGTGTCAAACAAATGAGAAGAACCATTGCTACACGGGGAGATTATTGAGTTTCGCCTTATCTTGTTGTAGATATACGGCAGCGCAAAGGCAAAAGTTGGAAGCATTAGGGCAGTTTATGCTGTCACTGTATATCAAGAGGAGCAGTACTTAACTAACTGCATCAATATTTTTCCTGATTGGAGTGTACCAAATGCTGCAGAATATACAGGACGCCATTTTCTGAGGTCAAAAGCTGATGTTGGGATTGTTATGACCCGTGTTCACAATATTGGAGTTGAGAAGGATATATTTTCTCTCCATCCCAGAGAGGAAAGAAGAACATGGAGTGTGACACAGATGGCACGTGCCCAGGTATAGTCAATCCGGTCTCACTTTGCAACGCCAGCATTATTATTATGGTAGCTCATTAATCTCGTGCTGTCATCAGCCAGTCAAAACTTATTAAAGGGATTCAAGGCTATCAGGGGTAGACCTAGGTGTTCCCAGCACTAGTCAGGCAACTGACCAAGATTTCCAACATGATTCACTTATCTCCGATCATCCGTAGGATATGAGTGGATTGATTGGTAGCGAGCAGGGTTCCCTAGCGGGGGACCCTAGTTCGGATCGCGGATAAAATCACTCTTCCAGGACTACACACTGACATGCGATGGACGTACACGATGGAAGACAGGGCAGACGAACCAATGAACGTCGGGCGTGCACGTTCAGGCCTTCCATTTTGACCTGACAGTTCATTCAATAAAAATAATTTTCCCATCCCAGCGACAGGGTCGCATTGAACTAGCAGCTATTCGATTCCTGAATATGCTCCTGGACGGTTCCCCAGTTGCTTCCACCCTGTACTCGATATTTTCCCAGGTACAGCAAAGGACTGCATGTGTAATTATTGCGAGAGAGAGAACCCAGCTCGAGGAGACTCCAGGCGATTCTTACAGAGTGGAGAGAGGAGGGTTCCCCTTGTTCAATGAGTCCAGGAGCAACTCTCTCCTGCTAACCTCATCCGGGCGAGAAAGACAATATGTTCGATGGTAGGATTGACTGGAACATGAGAACTCCTTGAAGGGGTTCCTCTTATCTACCATCCAAAAATCTCCCTATTGAGTTCCCAATGGGAACTGGAACGGATGCACACTACATGCAAGATTTGCGAGATTATAATATCCTTGGAAGATGTTTTATTTTCTCATTTGTATGCTTTGAGAATGAGAAGAAAGGCAAAGAAAGCAATTTACTTCAGTGTGATATGAATATTTACGTACATTCGATTGTTTCACCGCGATTTCTTGGGGTACATCCAGTGGATTTCCGCCCTACCTATTAAATACTTTCAAAAAGTTCTGGAGTACTACCAATTGTTGTCCTTGAACTGTTGAATTTGAATATCCACTGGATGTTCCTTGTAGATCTCTGAACGACCATAGCAGATATACGACGGACGGACGTATAATGATATCTTAACTACCTGGACGTGATTGTAGGTCTACCTGAGGCGTAGATGAAGTTGAAGGAATCTCCAAGGATGCACTGGAATCCTTCAGGATAAGGATATTCATCCTCCCATGTGAGAGCATTAAAGGCATTTGAAGTAAAAACCACGGATTCATCCTCAAAAATGAAGACCCTGGCCACAGAGTAGACCGTCTGATCCTCCACCACGCTGAGGAACAAGCTAGGCCATTCCATGATAATCATCTCCCCTCCTGCCCCATCTAGAAAAGGAAGGAGTAGTCGCCGCGCTGTAGATTACGTCGTGAGTACGAGTATACTCGTATATTTAGCGGGAAATTGCGGTTATGCCAACCAGGGAGGACGTAGTACTGGTAGTAACTGGATCCCCCCTCTGCGACTGCGACCTCGGGGGGCAGGGGATGCTCACAAGCAGTAGCGGTTGCTGTGATCGACAAATGACGTCCTCCCCTCAATGCGGCCATCAATTCGTCGTACGATGCCACAGCGGTGCTGCGAAAAAAATAATGCCATTTGGGTTAGGTCTACTTTTTGCGTTAATCATTCTGGAATCTGTTCAAATAATAATAATCTGTGAATTAATGTGAATAGGCAGATCATGAAAAGATCCTCAAAGATTCAGAAATATTATTGATTCCGGGGTGTTACAGTCTGCAGTTACATGCTCCATAAAATGGTTAGATTTTGTATATTCTCTCTGGAATATTTAATGCATGCTCTCATTCTCCGGAAGAGAAGAGCACCTGAGACCTTGCTATTAGCAGACATAGTTCAACCATGTAGCTACCAGATCCTGGCTGCTCAAGTTTGACTCTTTCATCTCTTCGTTGACAAATGATATCTTCAAATTCTTTGCATATATAGGATTGTAACATAATTAATGTCTTTTTTTCTGACATTTTGAAAAAATTTAATGTATGTTGTTCTGGGTGGCGTGTAACAATTAAATTAATCTATGAAGTTGAAGTAGATGTATTTGCGGTCTTTTTTCAGATTTGTAACTGGCTGATGGTGCCAATATTGAGTAAAAGATATTGTCAGATGTTAAATCAAATATTTATAATTAAATACATTTTTTTGTAAAATCTCTCCTTGTCATAGTTCTTGATGAGGTATATCCAGACATGAGTGTAGCCATTTTTTTTTGCCGCATACTGTATGTATAACATACATTTCATAGCTCCTATAGTTCAGATTGTGGAGGGGGGATCTATCTATGTTCAACACCCGGTAGTACTTTTCAGCTCTAATTGCTCTGGCAAAAAAAAAGAGGTAATGCCCAAATGTTGACAATACCGTCCGGCAGGATGTATTTACAACGTTAAACTGCTTCATTTCAACATCATGGTAACATTGAATCCACCTTTTGCACAATATTGTGGCAACGTTGCAACGTTGAAAAAATCAAATTTCATTCCTTGAACTCATAGAGCATGCAATGGCGGATGCGGATGTCGTGTGCAGACATTGAAGACTGTAAGATGAATAGGGGTTATAATTTCTTCAAATACAAGTGTCGTGTTTCACAGCCTCCAAACGGCCTCTGAAGGCTGAGCATATCTTGATGATGTAGTCCTCCTTCATGTTGGACCAGGCCTTCGTGATGGAGGACTTCAGGGCTGCCACAGATGAGTGGGGTTTGTTGCAGGCA